CTTCCTTCCTTCCTTCCTTCCTTCCTTCCTTCCTTCCTTCCTTCCTTCCTTTCTTCTTTTTCTTTCCTTATACTACCCAATTGAAAAAGACACAAGATTATTTATGACAGTCTAAATGAACAAATCTTTGATAGCTGTGAGTCAGAGAGATGAGTCATTCCTAAGGAACTTAAAATATACACAAGCACCCATTATAAATATCTGTTCTTTCAAATAGTCTGCTCTCAGATCATATAATTTTGTTGGTCCAAATCAGCACTCTTCATCATGCCTGGTATCCACTGAAGTTGTCATAACAAGGAAGGGGCAGAAACTTCTTACAACTAGTCCCAATTGATTGTTCAGCCACATCATTTTGGACCAGATGAAGTTTTGCTATCACTTTTCAAAAGCAGCCACATTACCCTCCACACTGAAATAGGCTAATATGGATACAATTAAGATATGAAATTGGGTAGCTACATTAACGATAAATCCATAAGTATTCACAAGTCAAATGTCTGAGTCTTCTGGGGCATTAAATCCCATCTAATATAGATTGAGCTTCTGTTCCCTGATCCTGTTCCTTGATCAGGAGCACCTCCCTCATGTCTGTCCTTATCCACCACTTTACCAAAATCAGACATAACTTTAGAATGCAAATGGCTTCTTTGGATTTACACGTAAAGAAAGACAGGTTGGGTATCATCAATCTATTGACTGATTATGTGCCGTGAATCTATTACTGGCACCAAACTGCAAAGTTCTAGAAAATGTCTCTCAGCTTGCTCATGTGTATATTTAATAAAATGGGGAAGAAAATGGAATTCCAATTATACCATGGAGAAATAATTATGTCACTGAATATAATTAGTTCTTATCATCTCCTTTCTAAAATTGCCCCTCCAGGAAGGGTCAAAGCCAATATAATTGGTAAGGGGGAGATTGCTATAAACATTATAACCATCTTTATTTCTGTTTCTCAACTCAAAGTACCTGAAATAACAGAGAAATTATATAGTTTTATGTATACAGTGATCCATGCATGTTGGTTTTCAATAAAGTGTATGCCCTAACTATTGATTTCCTTTCCAAATGATCAGAACGTCCAAGCATGCAAGTTTGCCATCCTTCTCTGCCATTATAAACTGAATATTAGGGTGGATGCTATTTATATGTTCTAGGAATTTCTTGAACTTTTCTTCATCATGGCTCCAGATCACAAAAGTATAATCCACATACCAGAATCAGATAGATGGCTTTAGGGGTGCAGTAACTACTGCCTTTTCTTCCAATTTTTTCATGTAGAAATTGGCTATGACTGGATTCAGTGAGCTCCCTATGGCAACTCTCTCAGTTTGTTCACCTAATTAATTGTTCCAGTGGAAGTAGCTGGTCATGAGACAGTGATGGAAGAGGTTGTGATGTCTTCAGGAGGACTTCTCTATGGGGAGGAAAGCATCAAAGAAATGGAGGCAGCAGCCAAAAGTTACTTCCAACACTTCTTTGAACAAATTGCTCAATTGCTACACACAGTGCTGCAACAACGAGGCTACCAATACAGATCCAAACAGTGCCACTTGGACACTCAAAAGAATCTCAGTCCAGATATTGCTTTAAATAAGTGTTCTTCTTTATTTCTGGGTCTGGGTGATGTACCTCTTGAGACTTTCTTAGTCCTAACTTCCAAAACTGTTTTTTAAAAGGCATCCCAAATAATTCAATGATATGATCCCTAAATTTTCCAGATTTCAGTGCTGCCCAAATATCAAGAAGATTCTACTAACATTCTTTTGCTCAGCCTTTGTGCCTTCTGAATTTGGGAGACAATTAGAATTTGACAAGAGATAAACAATATCTTGCACTAGAACTGAATGATTGTTATCTCTGCTAGATTTTTTTAAAAAAAACTTATTAAATATTTAAAATGAGATTAGAGAAAATAGACAGTTTGCTTCCTGGGTTGACAACAAGAATTAAACAAAGAGAATTAAATATGTATGCATAAGACTATGTCTGACTATTGACTCCCAAATGGAGTTTGAATACTATAAAATTACAAGAGAAAATTCAGGTAAACTTAAGATCATTGCAGTATGTGTTGGTTAAAAAGAGAAAAAGTGGGCTAAAGGAACTTTGAAAATACACCTCTGGATTTTGATAACTTTACAGAAAAGACTATGATTCAGCAACAGCAGGAGCAAATCCCAGTAATGCTAAAATGATGGCAGGTGCAATGTTACCATCTAACAAATGTTGCCCTTGCATACTTGTATCCCAGCATCTGATGCAAATACATTGCATGGCATTTGTATGATGATATCTTCATGCACATGTCATCATTTTCCTCCTTATGGATATGTATGCCATGATTTTGAAGCTGCCCAAAAACCTTTATAAGAAAGAAAGAAAAACATGAAAAACATGCTTATTCTGAATGGGTAGTTTCATTTTGTTTAGCTGGTTTTTAATGAGTTACCTGAATTATCAGATGGAGTAGGAACTTTGTTGTCCAAAATCACAGCAAGCCCAGATGAATCAGAAGGCAAAAGGTTGGTATTGAGATCCACACGAGTTAGGCTTTTGGGTTCCCCTCCATTGCTTGGTAGGACACCACAATTTTCATTTTCACTCTTTTGTCGATTCTGAACAATATGAACAATACTTTGCTGGGGTAGATCACAATTCTGGAGGGGAAAAAAAAATCAAATCCCCATACATGTTAGAGTTTGAAATCATCATTATCATCTCATCCAACCTCATTTTTTAAATAGTTCTCAAACATATTTAATACAGAATGTTAAAAGTAATGAATCTTAAGAAGAAGTTACCAATGTAAATTGCCAAAGTGAGCATTACTTACTTCACCAACAAGGTCAGAGTATTTAGACATTTCTATGCCTTAAACAAAACCACCAAAACCAGTCAACCTTGATGAAATGCTGTACATAAAGATGGCATTGAGCCTTGTATTGCATAAGTATCATTGGAAAGTGAATTGCATACACAAACTTTTATATGAACCCACTGGGCGACTTTATTAAAAAATTATGCAAGAGTACTTTTAACTTGTGCTTTTTCTACATTGGGGGCCACATTTGTTCCAATGGAGATCTCCTCAAAGTTTTCCCAAACTTCTGTACACCACCTTTCAACACTTTTTTCTGGAAAAAGGGGGCAACCAGAAAGAGAACTACCTTTCCCCCAGTATTAAAGCATGTGCCACCTCATTGTCTATGCCTATGTTTAATTGTATAGTTTTTATAGACTATTCCAATCATTCAGACATTAAGCAGTGTACAAGTAAGGAAACAATTAAAAACTAATGTAATATTACATAAAAACTAAACGGATGTTCAAAATTTTCATCCTGGGCCAAAGGCCTGTTGAAAAGGAATGGCCTTAAGTGCCTTTTGGAACCTCAAAAGGTAGGGACTATGTTTACTTCCAGGAGCAGAATGTTCCACAATGCAAGGTCTGCAGAAAAAGGTCTGCCTTCTGGGCCATGACCCCTCTTATTTCCCTTGCAGATGGAGCCTTCACCAAGCTCTCACTAGATGACTCAGACAGGATGGCTAGGCTCACATTTAACAAGGTGGCCTCTGATGAAACCTGATGCCAGGCCATACAACTTCATAGGTGAGAACCAGCACTTTGACTTGGACTCAAATGGCAGACAGTGCAGTGACTATAAGTTGGGCATGATACTACGTCTAATATATTTCCCTGACTAGCCTTCTGGCCAGTGCATTCTCCACTCATTCTGTGCCTGCAGATTCCTGCCCAGCTTTGACTAGTGTGCCAGTTATGTGTGACTCATGTCTTATCAAGACACAATTGGACCACTCTATTAGAACTGGGGCAGAATCCAGAATCAATATGTTAATGAATGAAACTTGCTAAAGCAGGATAACACCCATATCTCCAAAGATCACAGATCTTAGAGATTCCTGTAAGATTCTAGCTCATCTTAAAGTGCTGCTTATTACATATAAAGCCCTACATGGCCTGGTGACAGGCTGTATTAAGGATTACCTTGTCTACAATGAGTTTGCCCAACTGGTTAAATCATCCCGGAAATGTTTATTGCATGTTCCACCGTTATGTAAAGTAAAAGAAGAAGCATGGACTAGAAAGCCAGCTTTCTCTATGGTGGCTCTGACAACGCATAATCTGCTGCTCCAAATATTAATCTGGCTCCCTAACACTTGGCATTTAGAATAGCACCTGATCCCTAGGTGTAGTTATCATTGTTGTTGCTGCTTCTGCTTCTTACAAAGACCGTATATAGTCCTAGGGGAATTTGTTACTTTTGACTTATCAGATCCTTCCTAAGGATCTAGGACACTTAAAGATAATGTCATCGTATGTGCACTAATGCTACTTTTTGTAACTGATGAATTGACAATCAATCAACACCACCTTATACCACCTTGAGCTCCTAGAGGAAAGATGGGATATAAATCTAACAAAAGCACAAACACACACACACATATAACACAACTGTTATTTTACGTTAATGTAATTTCTATCAACTGTAAACATAAATACCATAGACAACTGGTGCATTTTTCCTGAATATGTTGCATTTTAAATAAATATAAGCCACAGCTGCACTAGGATGCACATTACATTACATTTTAACACTTCCGGCATTAACAGGCATGAACCTAAAAAAGTATGCTCACTTCCATGCCAGAGTTAGGAGCTTCTGATGACAATACATCAGGGGTACCAGGGGAGGGCAGGGTGGGAAAAGCATGGAAGTCCTAGGATCATTGGTTCCTAGGTCTGTAAGAGAAAACCATGGTGCATCTGAACAGCCCCAATCTATTTGCCTGGGCAATAAATAAACAAACTACTTTTTCTTTGGGGGGAGGTGTCTAAAGCCTGCATTTATAAAAAAACCCAGCAAGCTCTGTAAGAAAGTTTTGCATACTTACAGATAGTAATCATACTTCTGCTTGGAATTTTAGTAGCTCCTTATCAGTAAATTCATATATTCAGATGTGTGGAAGTCCAAAACAGTTTCAAGTTCATTTTTTAAAATTAACAACAGAGATAAACATTCTTCATGCATGTGAAAGAATGACCACTGTGCTCCCATGCCAGAGAGGAGAAAACAGGGCCAACTATCCCTTCCCCCCATCCCTGATGTTGTGAATGTGGGCTACCCTCATTCTCCCAATGGCCACATACTGAATACAGGCCCTGAAGTCAAACTATAAGCCCAGCTTACAAAGAAGCAGGGACGGGCAACCTGTGGCAATAACAGATTGCTGAATTTCAACTCCCAGCAACCCCAAATGGCCTTTTAAGGTAAGAGACTGCTTCCCCTTCAACTCCCCCCAAACGCCTATTCCCCCCCCCCCCATCTCTCCCCTTCTGGCTGCCCTGCACCCTGCCTTGTTGGGGCAACAAGCAGCCCCAGAACTGTGCGGCTCTGGGGCTTCTTGCCACGCTGCAGCTCAGGGGCTTCTTGGTGCACTGTGGCTCTGGGGCTGCAAGAAGCCCCCAACCCACAGAACAGCAGGAGGCTGTAGCCACTCTTAGAAGCCTCAGCCACCCCAGTGCAGCCCAGTGGTGTGATGTGAAGGCGCAGCTGCCCTGGGAAGCCCCAGCTGCCCCAGCCCAGTCCCAGCCACAGTTGCCCTCGCCATCCTGCACTTCAAAGTCCCTGCTGCCCTGTGCTCCACTGCCCCAGCTGACCTTTGCCATCTTCTTGCTCCTGCTGCTGACAAGGCATGCCTGTCCTGATCCTTCATGAGGCAGCTGCTGGCCACATGAGGCCATCTTCCCCAGGTCTTGTGAGGAAACCGCTATGTGCGACCTTGGAAAGAAAGCCTTGTGTGGCCAGCAGCTCCCTTGTGAAGGGCCAGACCAGGCATGCTTGGTCAGCAGCGGGAACAAGAAGACAGTGAAGGTCAGCTAGGGCAGCAGAGTGTAGGGGGCCAAGAGGGCATAAATGGGGGGGAGGAGATGGGGGTGGGGGGAGCTGAAGAGCCCCTGTGGTTGTAAGTGCGGATGGGCTGCCAAGCACCTGAATTTTGATCATGTGACTAAACAGCTGTAACTTTGGGGATTGGTTGTAAGTCCCTTTGTTCAGCACCATTGTAACTTTGAACGATCACTGAACAAATGATCGTTAAGCGAGGACTACTTGTATTTAGCCACCAAAATAAGGCCTGCACAGAGTTAGTGACGTGTGATGGAATGGAATTATGAAGGCCAGACTCAGGGAGAAAAACGTTTTCTTTC